ATAAGGCTGCTAATTTTATTTCAGATACCTTAATTAATATGGTATAGAATTTATTTAAGTATTGGTATGCATTAATAAATAATAATAATAATGTAAATTGTATGAATGTAAATTGTAAAAATTCATACAAAATTAAGAATCACACCAATAAGCTGTCATAAAATAGAGATATATATTCTACCTTATGATTCATGTTTACAACACATTATACTGGTATGATCTAGCTTAGACAGATAAATCCCAGTTAATTTTTATATATCTGTAAATAACTATTATCTATATTTCATTAATTTATTTGTAAGTCTTCAAAATTAAATACAATTAATAAATGCACACTAAGTATTGAATACATTTCATTCTTATATTTTCAGTTAAACAAACCACATACAGTTATACATATTTTGTGTATACAATGCATATTGTCAGTATAAATCGTAAAGGGCACACATCTAAAATGGTGAATTTTAGAGGATAGGCATAAAATGTTTAAAACATTTTGTTTATYTAATTCCTWAATTTGTTAAGGTTTTATTTCCATCATTTATCGCCATCATAATATGAAAATATTACTTTTTTTGAGTATCATTACCAATTATCAATTTCATGGATGTTAAAATTATAAAGCTGGGATTATGAATTTATCATTTGATGTGCTGTTTTCTTCATTTTATTCACAAATAATTTTTAAATCGAAAGAAAAATAGAGCTACGACTTAGCCCAATAATATTCAAGCATAATATATTAATTACCTAGAAACCAACACATCAATTATTATAGTATCAATATATTCAATTAACAATTCATATAAAACAATATAATTCCTAAATAGTACAAAGTAAGAAATAATTCATAATATCCTTATGCTTGTCTTAGGGCCATAAGTGGCCATACTGACCAATATRAGTTACTCAGAAGAAAATTTAACTAATTTAATACTTACAATCTGTTAAACTTGAAATGCCAGCCAGGGTTGTTATAGGTACACTAGGAATTTCCCCGTTCATTGCTATGGTCCTTTGATGACCATCGTTGTACCCTACTTTCAAGTCATATTGCCTGAAAAATTTAAAGTAATAATTTCAATTATTATATATTTATAACGAAATGTTTGATTTCTCGGTCTAAATTATAGGTAAGTAGRTAACCTATATGTATGTTGCATTTAATATCGGATTTGGAAAAGAGAGATTTTTTATTCAATAATCAAGATAACAGCTTTATTATATGGTGAATAATATGTTAATATTTAATAAATAATAAGGATAGAAAAGTAACTTTAAAAAAAAACACAGTAATTCACCAATAAAACAATAGTACAAAAATGCTAGTAGGTATAATTTCAACTAAAAATATATTTTACATTCAACTGTAGGTATTCCCAAATACTACCACACATTTTTCATTCATTCATTAATTTTTAAAATAAATATTTGTTTAATCACTCAATATAATAATGAATTAATAGTAAATAACACAAGAATAAAAATATTTCATAAGTTTAAAATCAAAAATACAATATTTTWTACCTAACCACAACATTATATTATTTATCATTAGTAAAAATAAAAATTGTTTTAAGTTTTCAGTAAAATATCTTTGTTTTCTRAAATAAATAAAAAAGATTCAATTATTTTTTTACCTACACTTTAAATGTTGTTTGATAAACAATAAGATTCATATGTTTTGAGTTCAACTATTTACATTAGGAAATGTCTTGAATAATACATCATGAAGTAATAAAATTGAATATAATTAACAAACATTAATAATGAATATTTATTTCTTACATTGTTTTATTCTTGCATTCAAAAACTATGAATAAATGTATGAAGTACCTACTTAAGTGTTCTAGTTTAGTGTCAATACTATTTGAAAACAAACATGAATAAATAAAAAAAATTTAAAATGTAATATCAGGTACCAATTAAAAAAAAATAATATTTTTAATAAAAAAAAATATACCTTGCTTCACTTTTGAACCGACGACCCTAGAAGAACTGTTCCCACCCAGCTTTCCAGGAGCCAATAAAAAATAAACCTACAGAAAAACAGATTTTTCTATATTTAATAAGACTTAAATTTAACAGTATGCCTAATTTTATTCAAATAAACATAACATAAGCATTAAATATGTAGAATTTATATCAAAATAAAATGTGAATTTTTAAATAAATACACAACGTTAAAATAATTATGTTCTATTCATCATAGTACATTCTAAAATAACATTCTACACCTATAAATTCCAAGTAGGGTACTTACAAATATTTATATTTACAGTTAATTTATTATTTTAAATTAATGCAATTGGCATACTTAATTTGGAATTTATGTAACATTATATTACCACTGAATTTCTTTAATTTATAATTTAATAAATTATCATTTAATAGATAATATGGGTATTTAATATTCTTAACTGAATTAGTTACACATATCTTTGAGCTTATCTTAAAGTAAGTTCTTTCTTTAAGTTTATAATATGAATATAATTATTGAAAATCCATAATAAAATCCATATATCATGATTCATGACATAATGACAACACATATTATGAAATATTTCTGTATTCTCAAAACTATGGCCAGAAGGCCTCATTTACACAACGACAAATATTTACTGGCCTGCTAACCGCAGCAATCCAATAATGAGCTATTCATATAAGTATATTACYTAATTTTTAAGTAGYATAATATACAAATAATAGTTCTAATTTCAGAATAGAACAAAACTACATTACAGAATTTTAAGTTCAAAGAAAGTACACTATATTAAATTAAATTTTATTTTTCTTAAACATGGAGTACCATAACAAACGTTAAAAACTTATGAGAATATCACACCTGCATGTGTTTTCTCTGTCTTACACGCTTTTAATTCRCCAGATTCAATAGTGTGCTACATAATTAGTTCTGATATTGGAGTGAATTAACCTATTATATAATTTAAAGTTAAGATAACTAATTAGGGTTCTACATAAGCTTTTATTAATATTATTATTTTTARGTAAGTTATGACCTTTGTAAAATTGTACATTTTAAAATAATCATAATTTACTTAAGGAGACATAACAATGATGTTTATTGTCTCTGTCTTAAAAGTGTGTACATACCAAATTTACCCTCAGCAGATCATGTGTAGGTTCATTAGTTTAAAAATTAGAGTGAATCAATCTCTTATGAAATTTGATGGTATGAACATTATCTGTGTTTGTATGTGGATTTTTTACAACAGTTCAATTTTAAAGTGGGTTATAAGCATCCTAATTTATGCTATTTTAAACAGTTATCTCTCGTTATCCACGGTTGAGTCTGTGATAACATTTSATCGTTATTATAAGAACTCTGTAAGTAATTTATCTTAGAAAATTGTAAATAATTGTTGTTATATCGTTAGGTATAGCGCGTATAATTATACAACTATGTTTATATGAACTGAATGCACAGATAAGCATTACATTATGACTTATTTTATTTTCTTATATTGTTAATTTGTTTAGTGGTTTTTTCATGATTCATAATGTATGTATAATTGATGATTAATAAATTACTTAATAAATCATGTATGATAAAAATAATAATTAATTAAATATTTAATTGTAAAAAATATTAACTTTGTTGTGATTTTTTAAACTAATACAATGTATCTTTTTACATTGCTTATGGTCTCATTATCTGCGGTTTTGATATCCGTATAACTTTGCTGGAATGTAACTTCGGCGGATAATGAGGGATTACTCTGTATATGCAGAACTTGCTAAAAAATTATAGTATTTTAAAAATCCCACATGCAAAGACAAATAATGTTCTTGCYATTATGTATCATTTTCATAAGAAGTCAATTCATTCTAAATTTTAAACTAACGAAGTAACACATAATCTGCTGAAGGTAAATTTGGTAAATTACGCACTAGGAAGTTGGAGACAACAAATGCCAGGGTACGTCCTCTTAAAAAGAATAGTATAAATAAAAGCCTACTATAATAATTGCGCCGAAAGAGTGCAAGTCAGCCACGCATCCAAATGAAGTCGCTCCGCGGTTTCAAGGTATAATTCTCCCACCAAGTGGAATGGTTGTACGCCATCAATGTGCAAGCTACAACGAGTTTTGGTCGCCGCCGACTTGCGCTTTYTCGGCACAACTAGAATAGGGGCTATAGACAATAATCTTACCTTTAGATTTTAATACAGGCCAATTCACTGTAATATAAAAACTATCTGCACACTATTGAAATTGGTATACTCRTAAAAATGTACTATATGTTACATGTGTAAAACAGATACAATACATGCAAGTGCCAC